TTTTTTTTGGTATTTAATACAGGGTCTACAGGGTCTCACTACACAGGTTGGACTTGTAGTGATCCTCCTATTTTTAGCCTCCCAAGTGGTGGGATTACAAGCGTGTGCCATCACGCCCAGTCTACACATGGATGAACATTCTAAAGCTGTCTAATAAATAGGCTTCCAGGAGCTAGAGCTAGAATTTATTTGATGTACTAACTTTCAAATAAGTATACCTAGAATTTTGTAATCACAAAAGCTTTTTAAAATGTACAAAAGCTGGCAAAGAATCTAAAACACTCAAACACTGCTTGTTATTTTCTAGAAGGAATTTGGTCACTTATGCCAGTAGCCACAAAGGTTCTGAAACTTATTTATCTAGTAACCTCACTGCTGAGGATTTATCCCAGGAGATCATGTGAAAGGAGAAAAATACTTGGCTATTGAATTATTCATCACATTATAACAGCAGAAGGGGTTGAATGGCCTAAATGATCTGTTACCGGAAAAGGCAAAATAAATCAGTATGAAACAACCCACAACAATTATTATGCATACAATCACTATAATTATGGAGAATGAAAAATGAGGAAAAAACCGAAACCCCAAACAAAAACTTCTCTGGTAGCCTAGAGCTCTGTCCAAGGTATGGATGGAGCAGGCGGGGACAGGGGTCACTTTCTGACTTTCCCAGAGAGGCCCATTTCAGCAAACGAATGAAGGAAGTGCCGACGAGGTGCAGCCCAAGTCAGCTGGCTGCAAGTCTCTAATGTACTCATCTTTTCTGGCACTAAAAGATTTTCTAATTAACTATGAGGTGTGATTAAAATAAATGGAGAATGTTTGAAGTAAAAAAATCACACTACAATGTACTCTGGCATCACCCCGCCGAATGCTCCCCGTGGTGCCTAGTGCTCCAGACCTGGCCATCCAGACCTGCCACTTTGGGGGCAGCTCCCGGGTGCTCCTGCCCATCCAGACCTGCCACTCTGGGGGCAGCTCCCGGGTGCTCCTGCCCATCCAGACCTGCCACTCTGGGGGCAGCTCCCGGGTGCTCCTGCTCTGGACCTGCCACTTTGGGGCTTCCGGGTGCGCTTCTGCTCGGGCCCTTGTGAACTGCGACCAGAAGCACAGTGCTCTTTACTGTAATACTTTTTTAAAAGCTCAACATTGAGCACGCTTCTTATCGCAGCACGGGAGCCTGACAAATTCTCTTCACATGATCCCAGAATAAATGGCGATGCCGCAACCAGAGGAAGTTTTTCCTGGAACCAATGAAGTGCTCAGGACAATGCTGTTGCCAAATTATTAGGGCTCTCCATAAAATCAAGCAAAGAAGTAAAATACTTCCTCTAGTGGGAACCTGAGAGCAGAAAACGTTTCTGGGGACTTCCAAGAGCCTCCCCCAATGGGCGTCAGGGTCTGGCTCCACCTGAGGCCGGAGCTGGCTGTAGCGCAGCTCTGCTCTTCTTTGCGGCTGAGCTTTTTGGTTCTTTCAGTGGCACTCCTTGCCCGGCGCCAGCCAGGAGGGTCTAGGTGAAGGGAACAACATTACCTCCTCCACAGGTGGCTGAGCAAGGGAAGAAGTCCGTCTCCCTCCAGCGGTGGATGATGGGCTGATAGAAGATGAACTGGACCGTGCTGTCTGCGGGTCCCGAGTTCCGGATCTGTCGGTGAGGAGAGGAAAGCGCAAGGACTAGCAGGGCACGCAGTGCCTCCGGGGCCTGCGCGTGTGCAGGGCCACACGGTATTCCTGCAAGCCCTGGCTGTGCAGCGGGCAGGAGGACAGGCGCAGCAGGGCAGCAGCACCCACCGGAAGCAGTGGGGGATCCCGCTGTGCTGCCGCTGTCCCCTCTCCAGACTGTTGCCACAGGACGCAGCACTGTGATGACTCGTCTTGTGGTCCCTCACTGTCTCACCCCAAGTCAATATTTCCATCCCTCTTTATTTCCAACCTCTCTAGCAAAGCAGATAAAATGATGGAAAGCGGTTAAATATAGTTTCACAACTAGGCAATGTGTTCTAAGAAAATTGTAAATGTCATACACTGCCTAAAACAAAATCCACCATCTGTGGCTAAGAAAGAAACAAGTTTAAAAATGAAGTAGGGCTCCCACTTAGCCATACATGTGGAGCTTCTTGGTAAGTTAGTGACTCTCACGTTGTGATGTGTGAGGCGGCCGATGCGAAGGCTGCTGACGTGCAGGCTCGTGGGTGAGGCCCAGAGGTCCAGGCAGCTCCAGCATGGGCAGTCAAGGACCGAACTTCCCAAAACACCAACTTATACAAGCAATTAACTCCAAACAAAGCTGGTACCTATGGAAATTATAATTTCTTTCTCTCTTTTTTGGGGCATGGTTATCAGGACTTGAACTCAGGACCTTGCACTTGCTAGGTAGTTACCGCACCACTGAGCTATATTCCTGGCCCTAATTTCTTTTTCAAAAGAAGATTATGAAATAGTGATTCTTTAATGGTTCTTAGAAAAGCAAAGTTGAGAAAACATATTCAAACTGAAAGAAAATACAAGTACCAAACCTGAAAATTCCTTTCAAGAAGAACAAATAACAAGCGTACATTTAGAGTGCCACACAGGGCTTGGACATTTATTACACTGAAGGAAGTTCCAGGTACAACTGGGAATACCCTTCTTGCCCTAGCTACACTGCAGTAGAGAAGGATCAGAGTTTAGATGAATCATATGGCCTAGGCCATTTATTTTTAAAGTATTTTTGAGCATTTCCAATGTCCCAACTGCCAGGGCAAATGGGTAGATCTGACCTTTAAATGGGTTTAAAGATAGTTCTGTTTCTCCGCTACTGACATAAGCAAGTGAATCACACATCCAGAATGCAGGGAAGTAGGAATCCTGAAGAAACCGGACCAAGGAAACTTGATAAACGCCAAATTCTAGAGCAGTTTTTGGAGTTTAGATGGAAAATACGGGAGTGTTCCTCAGATAGGCTGGGAAAGAAGAGAGGAGAAGAAAGGGGAGGAGAGGGGAGGAGAGGGAAGAAGAGAAAAGAGGGGAGGAGAGGAGAGGGGAGGAGAGGAGAGGAGAGGAGAGGGGAGGGGAGAGAAGGGAAGGGAGAGAAGGGAGGGGAGAGAAGGGGGGGGAAAGGAGGGGTGAGGGAGGGGAGGGGAGGGGAAGAGGGGAGAGGAGGGGAGGCAAGGAGAGGTGACAGACAATCGTTCTGGGTTCCACAGACATGATGGGTAATAGCCAGAAATTCAGGACTGCGTGCTCATATTAAAAAATAGTTTGGAAAGGAAAAGAAAAGATTTACCTACTTCACATAGATACAACCAAAGCTGCTATCTCTGAACCTTGGCGCAGAACCGTGGTTAATTTTGTCACACTGACCGCATGCTCCCTTTCTCTTTCTGTAGCAGGAGCCACAATCTGTGCTTGCTACATTCCTCCAAAGCATAAAGCATATTAGTTCTATATTCAGTCATAAAGTACTCTGTGTTATCTTTTGTGTTTAAGTGACCCCGGGGAAAATGAGACTAAGCGGCTTCACAAGGCCAGCAGCAGAGCGGTGGTGAGTCGGGCCAGTGGGCGTGGAACGCTGCCCTCCTCGTGGCGCGGAGTGACGATACTCGTGTGGCTCTTTGGTGGCATCACTTTACCTGTCTTCTTAGGGCCTTCTTAATTTTCATTTTAAAATAGAAACAAATGCTTAAAACACAAAACAGGAGCTTAAGTTGGTGTCTAATTCTGACAGCCGAGCTGTTGCCCATGGCGTCAGCCTCCTACGTTGCTCTCCTCCACCTCCTTTCATTCCAGCGGCTTGGCCAGCTGTGGTCATTAGGTCTGTAGCCTCACACATGCCGGCCCTCAGAGTCACACTCTAGTTCCTGGGACGATGCTGGCGTCCTCAGCTTGCCAGCCCAGAGTGCTGGTGCAGGGAGCTGCATGCAGCTGGCCTACGCAGCTGCGGCCTTCTTACACTGCTAAGCAGCAGGAACGCTCTAAGCCAAGCTCTTCCTTTTAAATGACAATGCTTACTTTAATGTAATAACTTTGCACACTAAAAGTGCAGGAGAAGAGTAAAGGTGCCTCCTCTCCATAGCAACTGACTGCCCCATCACGGTAGAGCTGAAGGGCAGACACACAGACGTGCGTGTGTGTGCGTGTGTGTGCGTGTGTGTCTGCACGTGTGTGTGCGTGTGTGTGTGTGTGCGCATGTGTGCATGTGTGTGTAGGGGTATTACTGGCTGAGTCTTAAGCCAATGTAAATTCGAAAGAATCAAGGCGGAAGTGCAAGCCCGCAGGCATCAGTCAGTACACACTGGCTCTCCCGGACAAAGCCCGTGCCTCGCCGCGGCTGAGGAGAGCACATGTCTGGGACTGCGGATGACACCCAGCGAAGCTGCTTTCTCCTGCTGATGTTTTAGAAAGTTCTGCCCTAGACGGGCAGGCGGAGTCTGGCAGCGCGGTTCCCTAACCCGCCCGGGCTGGGCTCGGTCCCTGCTCTGATGGCGCCGGGTGCCGGGTGTGCCCCAGCTCCATGTGTCTCAGATACAACTGCGTGACTTAGCGAGCGCACTCAGGAGAACACTGTCAGGCCTGGGGAGGCCCAGGGAGAGGCAGAGGCGAGGCAGCAGGCCGTCCAGGGAGCGAGTACAGCGGAAAGCAGGTGTGTCTGCTCATTAAATAGACCCTCTCTGGGGTCCGACAGGCAGCTTGTGCCTCAGCAGTTCACAGTACACTGTGTCCTCAAAACTGTCTTTGTTTGAGTTCTCAAGTGTATAAACGAACAAATGAATTTTATACTGATCACGACCCCTTCAATATTTTTGGAATTACAAACTATTATTTGCGACATAGCCTTAGAATCCTTGTTATGCTTTAATATACACCTGCCAGTTTTCTTAAAGACGTTCCTTGTCACATCTACCAGATGACAAGTTTTATGAAAAGAAGTAGGTTAGCAGCAAAACAGCCTTGACCCACGAGCCCGTTCTGTCCTCTGCTCAGGGAGGTGCTTTACTGCGGCATGCCACGCAGGGCTTGTAAAAACACTGCTTACTACAGGAATGAGGCCTGATCACGCACTCATCAGAATGCCTGACAGATTTTAGCAGGTGAAAAAGCTAAGATGGGGACCATGAGATTAAAAATGATACAGTTTTTAATATTAAATTTACCTTTGCACTTCTTATAGTCCGCCTAGAGCTCCAGACTTCAGCTGGAAAGACACTGCCACTCCTACTGCAGGCTCAGTGCCCAGGGTTGCATGGCTGATGCCGGCTACAGCTAAAGCTGTCATGACTCTGAGCAGAGAGGCCCCAGGGTGGAGAGGTCTCTGTAGAGCAACAGGTGGAATACTTTCAAGAAACTAAGAGTGGGAAAGACTGGCCAGGACAGAAGTCCTGAGAAGCAGAGCAGGGCAGAGTCTGGAAGGCTGTTCTAGAGCTCAGAAGGAGAAAATGGGCCAAAGCTCAGATAACCAGCATGACCCCGGGGTGGGTGGCTGCGCGGGGTCCGGCCACTCTCAGCTGTAAGAAGGGTGGAGGGTTGGCCCTGGGTCTTTAGCCTCACTGTGGTCAACAGAACAACACAGCACTGTACCTCCAGTCACCTTGTTCTATACTCTAGGAATCTGTCAGCCAGAAGGTGACCATTTGTCAGGAGAAGTCGCTCTGCGCAAAAGGTGGGCAGGAAATGGCAGCTGCCCAGCTTCTGAGTCTCTGCCTCCCCACAGCTGCTTCTAACTTCTCCTCGCAAAGCCACTTGCCTTCAGACAATGATCTTCGCTCCTGTTGGGAAGCTTTGTAGACCAGGCGGGGCGAGGGCGCAACCAAACATGGTTAAGCGCTTGCTAAAGGTCAGCCTCCAAGGCAGCAAAGAGCTGAGTACTGCAATCTTGCGGGTGCCACATGGGCTACAACGTCTCAGAAATGCTTTCTCAGTTACGCTAGCCTGTAGTCTTTACTACTGGCTCCTTTTATTTTAGGACTCAACTACGCACACCATTATTTCTAACTTCTCTGCCTGGTGTCTTATTTCCCAAACGGCACGGTGAGCCGGACAGTACCATGCACCTTCTAGAAAATACATACTTACACTAGGGGAAGTGAATTCCCATTATTTTGTCTGTGTTATTTCTTTCTGAGCTCCTAATTTTTCTCAGAATAAAAACAATCTTATGGTGCTGAATTATGCACAGGGTTATCCTCAAGGGTGTCCAGGACAAAATATACAGGCACTATCTTTGCCTAAAACTCTAACGTAAAGGGAAGCTGCAACATCCTGTTCCCTTAGAATAATGAAAACGTGTTACTTTCTGTGGTGCTGTCACTACAGAAATGATAGCTCTGTGGGGGTGAAGCATTTGTTAATTAGCTAGACTTAACTCTTCCACAATGCACGTATACTTCAAAACATCATGTCCTACATAATAAAATATAAAATGTTATCTGTTAATTTGAAAAATACACAAAAATGCTACTTCATCAACACCTAGGCTGATGTCCTCCTTGCTAGCCATGTTCTCCAGCCATAACAATGCAAATGTAGAAATGTAATGCATTTCACAGGCTGTCTGAAGCAGGAGATAACTGCTATCCAGTTATTTGTGCATGAATTGCAAGTCAGCGCTCTTAACTCCGCACATGCTTCTTATTTGCTCTTTGGCAGTGCATTTCCAGTGTAGTTTAG